TTATTTTTGATTTAATGGTGAACAGAGTTGCTTTCTATCTATTTGTCTTTGATCTGTGACTATTTCTCTTTAAGACCGATTCAGGGGCGTAGCCAAAAAATTTTTAAAGGGGGGCCCATTTTCGAAAATTAAAAAACCTTTATTTTGTATCCTTAAATCTATATTCATTCTTCATAAGTTTAAATATTTAATTCATTATTCATACATTAAATTTAATTTTTCGTGCTGATTTTGACATTTCTTTCATCACTTCCTCTACATTAACTGGTTCTTCTCTATAAATATTTAATAAAACAATTATCAGATTTTCATAGGAGGGGCCAGGCCCCCTATGCCCCCCTCCTGGCTACGCCCCTGGACCGATTTCTTTGTGAAGTATGAGGAACCCTTGCTCTCCTGAGCTAGAAAGCAAGGTAAAAGCTAAGACTCCGGGCTCTGCAATACTTTATTATTGTATGATCTTGCTGACAGTCAAGCCATCTAAGTGAACAATACTGCTGACTTGTGATCCAAAGATGCTGAATTTAAGGAAGTATCCTTGCTTCTCTGATTTTATCAAAACCCTCAAAATACCTTTTTAGAAACTGATCTTGACAAGTGTGTCCATAAAAAATTCAATTCACAAATTCGAAAAAACCAAACCACAACAGTTTTATGTTACTTCCAACAAAAGTTTCCCAATTTTTATCTAAGTTAAAACTTCATCCTTTTTAAAAACATCACAAAGAATTTTTTCGGATCCTTCAGAAATGTCTCAAGTTCCGCAAATAATGTCTTTAAACTTTAAAAAGCTTCACACTCTTTTTTTTCATCTACACTCAGATCTCAATTTAAAATTTTTTTTCTACAAACCCATTATAATACTATGGCAATCTTAAGTTGCAGCAAGCAGTTTGTTTTGAAAAATTTATGTATTTTTCTCTCTCATTTCAACTTGTTAAAGCTTGTGACAACCAAAACACGAGCATAACATAGGAACAACAATATCTTTTATGTTGGGAAATAGAGAGGAAGTGGAGAAAAAGGGAAAATAAGAACAGCTTTAGGTTAGGACTTTTTAAAGAGACGGTTTTAAAATATTTAAAACTCTGACTCGTGGATATTATGCTTAGTTGAAGGTGTTTTGGATTACACGCGGGAGACTGTTAAATATTGAATCGATTAACCTTAATGAACATGATTGTGCATCCAAAAAATTCCAGATAATCACTGACTTTGGATTAAATTTTGTAGTTTTTTCATGGATCTCTCACTTGCCATTTTCAAAGTTAAATATCTTTTGATCTATCAACACATTTAAAGGAACTCAAAAGTCAAAACACTCAAAAACGCGGAGCAAACAATCCAATAAAAAGTTTGAGCATTTTTAGGCAATAAAATCAACCACAAAATTGGGAGTACACAACCAAAGCCATTTCAACCAAAATAAGCAAGCAAAAGCAGGATAAAAGCGTAGCGTAAACGAAAGAAGATATCACAAGATAAAAGGAACGTAAATACATAAAATATGCTTCTTTGCCGCTCAAATGATTCCAATAAAAATAAAAAAAGCTGGTACAAAAATACGACAAAATAAGCTGAAAATTTAATGCCTATATCTCCTTTCTTCTTAGCTATCGGGTGAATATGAAATAGAGACTGAGTACAAAAATAAGCTAAAGCTACTAAAGAAAGCATTTCATTCTTTTATAAAGCACACGAATGTGATTATTGTGATGAAAAATGTTTTCCATTTTTTTTGTTTGCAACGCTTTCGTCCTTGAGGTAGTTTTACAAGAATTTCAAGCAGCTTATGATGGATTTTATGATGAATTTCCACTGGCGTTTGAGATTCTCTTTGTGAATGAGTAAGATTGTAATTTGGAGTTGGTGGGTCATTCACTTTTTAATTTTAAGAATGCGGTGAAGCAGGTCAGAGACAAAGATGGCAATCGGCAGAATGAAAGAACTCTGTGCCATGCCTTCATGCTTTTTCACTATAGATTCAACGATACGTAACGATTTAAAATTCAAGATCATCTAAAAAAACTGTACATCAAGCTCATACCTTCTTACTTCCTTAACATCTCGCTCAAGGCCACTCTTGTCACCATAAAACTGCACGGATAACTGAACAACAAGGCATAAAACGAGAGATTTCCTTATTTTCTCAGTAAAAAGTATAAGAGCGTATGCTGTTCATCCTTATGCTTTAGTATCAAGACAATATATCATATGATTTATTTGCATTTACTTTTATTTATATCCACAATTTAATTTACTTCCATGTACGTTTATGTTTTATGAGTTTATGCTTGCAATTTCTAATGTTACCTAAGACATATATTTTTAATATATTCGATGGCTTGAAAAGACGTAAAAGGGATCATCGTTAAGGACATAAATGATGAGAAAATGAGAAAAAGACAATGAAATTCAATTTCTCATCGTCGTTGTCGTCTTCATAATAATAATAATGATAAAGATAATAAACAATATATATGAGGCAGAAGAGAGAGATTTTCTGTGGCAGCTTAGCGTTAATGATGATTCTCATCATATATTTACACATGTGTAAGCGCGTCTGTGTGCGATGCTCAAACATTTTCTTCTCTTTCTTCTACCATTACCACGACGACTGTGGGTTTTCCAGGGAGGATTTTCATTAAAAATTAAACTCATTAATTTGCTCTTACTTACATATTTGTTTGTGATGTGCTTACTTTGCGTACACAACAAAAAAAAGTAAACTTTATGCCAAGCAGAAAAGCCCTTTTCAATTTTCCATGATAATATTTCATGATGAAATCATTATAAGCTGTATGGTAAGCCATAAATTCCTTTTTCCTTTACATGCTTAATGATTTTATCCATTAAAATTTTCCCAAGAAAAAAAGAGAACAACCTGAGTTTTTGTGTGATGGTTGGCTTCTTGAGATGTTATTGAGTTATATGGAAAAAGGAAGACTTGGTCTTTTTGGGCTGTTAGCTAGATGCTTGTGTATAATGTATGAATAACGTTTTTGAGGGTTTAGATGCAGCATAGACGTGGTTGTTAAAATGAGAGAGTTTTTGTTTAACGACTTGGGTAAGATCTCTGGGAACGTCTTGTTAGAATCAGTCCAATTGCCACTGTTTTAACAATAATGCAAAATAGGTCAAGGCTAGGTTACTCACATTGATTTACTCATAAGCTGCATCAATGATCAGTAGATCCTGTATAGATTATGTATTGAATGCTGCCAAGCTTCATAGCAACCCACGATAGCTCAATTGTAAGACGATTGTAATGCGACCAAAAACTGTTGTAAGGTGGGTTCGAATCTCACTTGAAATAGTTTGTTGAGAAGTTTCGATATTCCTACTAAACATTCAATTATTTTAAGTATCAATATCAAGTCTGAACATATCTAATAATGCCTTAAACACGTTAGAACATTCAAACAAGCTCTTGATGTCACCAGAAAATCTCAAATTACCTTTCCGAACACAAAATGTTCATCAATAATTGACCAAATCATTCACTTTTGACTATACAAACAATTTAATCTTCCCCCAAGAAATGTAAATTTTGCTTGTTTATGCTCAGCAATATTATTAACATCCATTTTATGTTCTACATAATACAAAGATCAATTTCAATAATTTCCATTTGATGTTCAAATGAATTTGTTTATCTAGTAATTTTCAATTGATGTGCTTTGTGACCTACGGATGCTGATGGAAAGTCGTAATTTAATATCCTTCAAGGAATTTTCATTGAATAAGCTTAAGAAGCTATTGAAATGCTTTTTAGTTTTCATGGAAAATTTAAAGACAAGCAATTTCAAAGAGCGATTTTTATGCTCGAAGGAACTGAATAAATATTTTTCTAAAGAAAACTCAGCGTGGATTTTGAGTCATTGGTTATTTTTTGTACTGCTAAGCTAGCATCTTAGACAAATTAGAGATAAGAAGAAGACTTTCTGAGAAGTCAATATTGAAAATCTAATAAGGAACTGCTCTATAAAACCATTTAGCTTAAATAGAGCGACTCTAGTGATTGAATTTAATTTTATTAATAAAATTTCTGATGTTGAAGATTCCAAGAATTGTTTTTCTTCTATTTTTATTGGGGTTCATGGAGTGTGGGGTGGAACTTGTAAATGGATATTGAATGAATTATTTCTTCTGTGGAAGTTTGTTCATTTCACGAATCAAACATTTGATGTGAAATAGCTTGTTAAGTTTTCAGAAGTTTGAATTCACAAAATTCTTGAAAGAAAACCAATAAATCATTTATAAAAAGTTGTTTTCGTCAAACTGAGGAATCAGGGGTGCAGCCAAAATCTTCAACGTACTGAGAACTGTTCAATTATTATTTATTAAGTGACATTACCTGCTTTATTGACAAAATACAAGTCAACCCGATCGAAACAGATTGAAATTCATTGAAATGTTTTGCAGTCTTGCTTAATTAAATGTGGGAAGCTATTCATCAACAAATTCCAATTTCTGACGCAAAAGAATAGCTCTTAGTGATATCAAATGCTTCCTACACCCTGTACACCTCCTCATGTCTCGAAAGTTTTCAAAAACAAAAGATTTTTTGTTTGTCTTTAGCATTTAAAGTAATTTTCAGCATTCCAAACTTTTATATATTCTTCAAACTTAAAATCTAGTGCTAGGTAAGGAAAATAAATCAAAATCCCACTCTTGATCTGTAAGTTTCACACCTTCTGATAGATGACAATCAAAAACATTATTGATAACACCTTCTTCTGTAAAAGAAGCTTAAAAGAATCAAAAAAAGTTTTTCAAAAAAAATCGACAAGAAAGGTAAAGGAAGCAGCCTGACACGTGTTCGAAAAAATTCCCTAGCGACGTTATAAATCTTGATAATGCCAAAAGATTCTTTCAATCGCTAATGTATCACTTAGATCAACTCCCCCCACAAGAATGTTCAATCTTTGTTCTGTGGAATTTTTGCACCTCCTTAAACTCTACAAAAAAAAAAATTCCAACAATTTTCTTCGTTTTTTTTCAACATTTCTTTTTATTTTCTAAATTTTTCATCTAAATTTTCATTTCCATCTGTTTTCCTCTTAAAATATTTTTTTTTCTTCTTTTAGTCTAAAACAAGATTTCGCCTTATTTATTTTCTATATTTTTTCTCATCCGTACATATTATCAGTAGAAAAAGTCTTGTGATGATTCTTCTAGTATAATAAAATAAAATAAAAAATCTCACTTTAATCCTCCCCATCCGTTTCTATCAAATTTTACATCTTTCGCATTTTATTTTTCGATTTTTGAAATTTTTTAAATTTGCATTAAAATAAATAAAATGAATCTGATAGAATCTATGAGAAAATTTGTGAGAAAGGAACAAGAATTACAAAAATCTGTGTCAGCATGCGAAATAAAAATGTGAATTTAAATGTCAAAGAAGCAGCAAAAAAGAAGATTTGCTTCTTTACAGCTTCACTTTGCTCTTCTTTCTAATGTAATGAAATTTATGCTTTCAAGTTTTAAAGCTGAATTGCTTTGCAGTTCTTTGAAAATTTTGTATGAACAATGATGGATGGCAATGAAGAACATAATTTTGTCTGTGAATTAAGTGTGTCATGAGAACTGAGGGGGATTGGTTCTTGGGAGCGCGGTTTTCTTGATTTTATAAAATTTTAACAATTTGTTGCAGTAGCATGACGAAGATTTAAGGCGCTTTAATTAAGTGTTTTACTGTCTTCGATATACTACCAAGCAGCTAGCATCAAGTGCTAGAGGAAATTGTTGTCAAGGGTTGGATTTAGAGCTACCCAGCACACCTTACTTAGTCACATTTCAATTTTAATTATGCTTAAAAGTTGCATAATCAATGATTTTAGATTTTAGGTTAGCTTGTCTCTGGGAGTGCTTGAAACCGTTCACAATTTAGAACATCTTACTCTTGTGACTTAATTGATGTGATAAGACAGCTTTTAGCTAACATAATGATCACGCACTATTCGCATTTCATTATATTGTATCGATTAGGAATCGAACAGGAAGTCTTACAGGTTGTGACTTTGAATGATAGGTGCCAATGAGAGCTAAACATACGCGGCCTGTTTCACTAAAGTGGATTATCCTCGATTTCTGATTATCCACTTCAGTTTTTTGTAAATATCTTAAACTTAATAGGAGGTGTGGTATTTCTTATATTGGATTATAATAGAGTGAACTATGCCTGAAATTTCTGTGTAGTTTAAACTTTTACTTTTTGTTAAGAAGTATTAATTATTCAATTTTCTAGCCAAATCTAGGAGATTAACTTCGATTTTTGCTTTAATTCTCAAACTAATGAAGATATAAAAATTCTAAGTTTATGTTAATTTAAGTAGCAAAATACTCTAACTAGATCACACATTAGATCTCTTAATAACTTTAAGCGTCTGGAGATATATCCAAAAAACTGAAGTGGATATTCCGAAATCGAGGATAATCCACTTTAGTGAAACAGGCCGACGGGGATATTCTTCGAACCGTTTCACTGTGCGGTTTTGGACATGGCTTAACATCAGGTGTGCAATCAACACTATTCAAGAATCATAATAGATATTTTGCCTTATCAGAATCGAAAATAGGTAAGCGTGGGGTCTTAAAAACAAAACCTTCGAGAAAACCGCGCTCAAATGAACTTAAACATTAATTTTAAATGCGACACGATAGAAATTATTTCTCAATCTTCTTTCTTTTGTTTTAAACAATATTATTTTTCGTATATTTTTTTGGGGGGTTCTGTACAATTCTTTACAAATACACGAGATCATTGTCATCCCGTGGAATTCTCTTATCATTATATACAATTATTAAATTATTTATTGAATTCTAGAAACAATATGTCCGATTTCCACTCACATCACCACTAATATTCGATGTTGTCGTTACTGTTGCCATTGATGCTGGAACTGTCGATGATGTTGTTGATGTCATTTGATTTTCTCCACTACCATTTACATTTGCTAACGTCGTTGTTGTTATTGTCAATGGTGTCGTTATACTTAATGGCCTCATTCCACTTACGCTTATTGATTGTGGAAATGGAACTGGTTGGGTGGATGAGGCGGGTGACAAGAGTGTTGGTGTCGGTGTTTGTCATCCATAATAATATTGCACGTTACCAGCATTACGATTGAGAAATCGTGGCATATTTTGTTGCTGTTCCATGTCATGTGATGACTGTCTTCTAAGTGTCGGATGACCGAGTATTGTACCACCGACATACGATGTCGGCTGCTGGGCTTGTATGAGACTTAATCCACCCATGCTAACAACAGGATGTTGACGGGGAAGTGTACCACTTAAATTAAGACTTGGCATATTTACTGTTGCAAACGGAAAGAAAAGGAAGGAAAAAAAATTAATATTTAATTTAATTTGTTCGCATAAATTTCTCACGTTTTTTTGTTTACTGTTATTTCAATCGTGCCTTATTTTTGCCACAACAATTTGCATTAGAATAATTTTATTCATTTATTTCAAGCTTATTGTGTATGTCGATTGTGAGCTCCAAGGCACAGTTGAATTAACGAATTACGAGAATTTTTTTTAAATGTTATTCCATAGAATAATGAGGAACCTTGCGGTGAGGCTTATGTTACGCTCTGTGTTTCAATTAATTTTATGACTTCTTCTTTTAATTGCTTTTCTTTTTGAAGCCTTGACGTCTTTCGAAATGAAAACATCCTCTCGGAAATAATTTTGTAAGCACCTTGACGATAAAGGTTCATTAACTTCTTGAGCATAATCATCACATTTTATTTTGACGTTAATTTTAGCACTTCGATAATGAAATTTCTCAAGATTGATGCTGCATGTGAATCAGTCACATTGCTTTACATGCTTTTGAAGGAATAGGAAATTAGTTTTAGACTTCTTGCATCCGAGATCAATTCGAGAGTCAAAACAGTTCAGCGAGTACGAGCTCATCAAACTTATAAGAGTGTCCAGTTCCTGCATTTGTGGCAGTGATTATAGCCGCATAGTTCAAGAACTATCTTACTTGAGTCGTAAATCAGCGAACATTTTAACTTTTTTGACAATCTGTAGCTTCAAATGACATCTTTTAAAAAGGAACCAAGACTTTAGCCCCGGCTAGTGAATTGAGTGCAAAAAGCAAGTCATGTCACCAACTTCAAAAACATCAAAGCCTTTATTCCTTAAATCAGCAAATATTAAATACACTTCAAAGTATAAGAAATCCTCACATGAAGTTTTAATTAAAAGTCAGTTACAATATTTATAGGACTTACGCCTCGAGGCGCCTCTATATGAAGGCAGATTAATTCCATTATGAGATTGATTTTAATTAACTCACACCGAAGCAGAAATTTCATTAAGCAAGCATATCACAAAATGATGGATTTTTTTTTCTCATAAGGACTGCACTCATAGAAAAAAAGTAACCATAATATTTGTTATATGTTTGTTAAACTAGTTTAACAAATTATTGATTAAGTTTACATGGGTAAAAAAAATTTCAACCAAACTATTTGTTAAAAATTTTACAATTGAGTTTGTTAAATCAACAAATTTATTTGTTAATAATTGATTTAATTAAATTTTAATTTTTGTATTCAAAACTCTTGTTTGATTAATTTCAAACGATTCCCATTAATTTATTGCGTTATTTTTAATGAGAAAACTGCTTTAAATTGAATTTTGTTGATTTTGTTTAACAAATTAATTTGTTAATTTTAACAAAACATTTGTTACAATGTTTTTATTTGTAATTTGTTTTGGAAAATAATGATTTACAAACCAAATCGTAATTTAAAAATTAAATTTGTTCATTTTTTTAAGTCCTACATTTCTATTTTATTATTCATAAATTAATTTTAAAATTTGGATATATTTTTTAAAGAATTATTTATATTGGTTCTGAATCAAATTTTATAAGTAAAAGTTTACAAGCAGCGGACTAGCGGATCATCAACAGGAATTCGGAAGTTAAGCAACCACGGAAACATTTTAAAATAAGATGGGTGACCAAATTAACAATTTTCTGGTTAATATTAACCGAAAATTTGTTATTTTTTTCTGTAAAAAAAAATTTTAACAAAAAGTTTGTTAAATTAACAATTTTTATAGTTAACAATTCAACCTTACAAATAATTTGGTTAAATTTAACAAATAAGTTCGTAAACACTATTTTAACGAATTGTTTGTTAACATTTTCCATACAAGTTACAAACATTTTGTTACTTTTTTTCTATGAGTGTGTGTATTCATTTCATTGTTTCACCATTGACTGACTTTTATGAGAGATTGAGGATGGAAAATTGTGCATTTTGGTTAAGTTAACACAAAATGCTTTGTAATGTAGAAGATGTGTGATTATGAACATTTAAATTGTAATTTGGATTAAGAAATCTTGAGTTCGAGTCTCATTAGAATAATTTTTAAAATTAAAAGGCATCTTTAGACTCTGTTGAAGCTTTATGGTTTTTGGAAGGTTTCTTGGAACCTAGTAAATAAAGTTCTATTTGTCATTTCTCAGATCCCTTGAAAACAGATGCTTTCAATGACATAAAACACCACAGACCATCAACAACTCAAAATGCGTCATCCACATCAATTTCCTTCGTGAAATTTTCATCATATTCATATTAAATCTCGGGTTTGCTTTCATGTTTACTTTGTGGCATATATTAGTATGCATAATATTGTGAAGAGCTGAATACATCCCATCCACATATAGAATAACATTTATTTATTTATTTTGTGCGTGTAACATTTTCATTAAATAAGACGAAGATGGTCTCATTGTCTATGAGAATATCAAATATTTGTCAAGTGGACATTGTGGATTGATTGGGTTGTGGGTTGTTGAGAGCTTTTGATGATGGTTGCTTTAGCTCGTCATTTGTGCAAGCTTTGAAAATTCCAGAACTATAAATTTTTGAACAATCATCCACAATCAAAACTTTTAGTAATAATCTTACTATCCAAGAATCTATAGACACTGCTAAAAGCTCACAAAAATTCAATTACCAACCCAATAGCCACAAATCCATTCAAAATAAACAAAAGTAAACTCACCAAAGCCTGTAGTCATTGTTGTACAATGTGATGATGGTGGTGGTAACATCAAGGCAGGATTTATCGATCCACTAAGTAGCGAAGGTGTACCAGTGGTGCCAGATGAACTACTGATGGACGATTGGGGCATAAGGAGTGTTGATGATGTATGTGAGATATTTGATGGCCCCAAATTTCCATAAGGCGATGGAGACGGTGTGTAAGTATTGAAATTCTGTGGAAGAAAATGTTATGAAAAATCAGAAATTTGATGATGATGGATCATAAGATATTAACTGATGTGTTTGCATTGGTCAGGAGTTGAAGAAGAAGGAAAAAGGGAAAAGTTATCGAACATGAGATGAACGCATTAATAAACAAAATATTATCAAATTTCATTATCATGGGTTTATTTTGTTGATGTTTATTCTTCATTGAGTAAACAGCAAGACTCTTTTGAGATTCTGATCCTTATCATCATGTAAACTCATCTTATCATCTTAATGCTTTTCTTTGTTGCTCTTTGAATTAAGTTCATGCTTTTGTCATGACTTTGATGTGATGTAAACTTATTGATTGATCTGCACTGATGATTCTTTTGAAAATTTAGAGTCAGATTCACTTTATTGAGTTGCATTTGGATGAAGATGATATTGAATTGAAGTTTAAATTGAACCTTTGTAAAATTAGATTGTTTATTTGTGGTGATCTTGTTTGATAGAATAGATTATGGATGTAGTTTCTAGCCTATCGATTATACTTATTAAGATTTAATTTAGATACTTGGTGTCAAACTTCATTCACTAACCCTAATCCATCAACTAAAAGCTTTTGGTCTAATAAATATTAAAGTGCTTACAGGATCAACTTAAGTTTTCATTCAACAAACTCTTTACATGTTAAATATTTCATCTCCTTTATGTGTCATTCCTGTATAAAGTACACATAAGTTGAACAATAAATCTGCATAAATTGAGCAAACAATAACAGGAAAGAGCGTCGGTAACAAACAATAGCAACAACATGAAATTTCCCTTTTTCTAAAATCCATATCCAATACGAACACAAACACAAAGATAGAATAGAATAGAAAAAAAAATAGATATTGACTTACATCGTTTCTCGTAATGCTACTGCTGCCTGTTGACATTGGTAATGGTGTTGTAAGATCTATATCAGCATCTATTTCAGAGATATCGTCTGCTGAAAATCCATTTGTTATTGTTGTTTCACCTGTATTTGATGTTTTAAATTGTGCTGGAGTTTTACCTTGCTCGCTACTCTCATCCTTCGATGGCTTACGTTTAATGAAAATCCATCGTGCGATGACAATGAGTAAACATAGTAACACGCCAGATGTTACAGAAATGATCAATAAAAGATAGAGACGTTCCTGATTTTCTGTAATTTTGGAGAGAATAAAAGAAAAGATTGGAAATTGAATTCTTTTTGTTCGTACATTTTTCAATTCCTTTTCAATTTTGAGGAAAAGAATATATATTTATAGGAAGAATGAGAACAATAAAGTTTTTTTTTTGTGTAAGACGAAACTTTTATTGGACAGCAATTTTAATCTTAATTGAAAAACTTTCTATTCGATTTTTCGCCTCAGGTGATTAGCTTTTAAATCTTCTTACTTTGCCTTTTCATAGTTTTTGTTAAGCGTGTGGATACGTCTGTGTACTTTTAAGCTTTTATTTTATTTTTGTCAATTTGCAGTGATGAAAATGAAATGAAGTTGAAATGGAAATTGGAAGATGTATGAAGGTTTATGTAATATATGATAAGGTTTGGTGTAATAGATTGGAAAGAGCAACTAAAGGAATGATTAAGGAGGTTGAGTATGGCTGTATCATGTCAATCCATGTCTGGTGAAGAAACCAATAAGTTCTCTGAATCTTAATTCCTAATCTTAAATAGCTGCAAGCATTCAGATCATTTCAACAACAACACATCTTTAAATTGAATAGCAACAAGCAGCTTTAATCTTCCTATTACCTTAAATCTGAAGGATTTGATCCACTTTAGGATAAATAATTATTTTTGTGGTTTCTTCATAGCTATAACTCAGCCCATATCGAAAAGTTCATTGCTCTTTGCCTGTCTAAAGTTTTGTATGAACAAAGTTTACGGTTTAGGATTTTAAATATTAGTTTATGGTAAGAACTTTACATCTAATAAAATATTAAAAGGTTTTTTAAATCCTTATCGAGTTTGGGGTTGGAATTATTTGATGAAGCTCAAGTATGAGATTATATCTTCAAATCAAAACTATGCAGATTAACCTCTTTGCATGAAGAAGAGTTCCAAAACATAAAAGATTGTTTATGACATGACAAATGATTCAACTTAATTAAATTAAGAAGTCAAAGTAAATAATAATAAAATGTAAATGATGAAACTCACGTGATAAGAAAGCAAATGTATGCATCCACTCATCAACAAAATGAACAACAACAATCTTCTCATTATTATTATCATTAATATTGTTATTTTCTTCCTCAACATTACCGCACTCATCAATCAATAAATTATCGTTGTTGACCTTCGTCATATTACGACTGTTCTTATTGCCCGTCTTTATTTGCTGATTAATTACATTATTTAAGCATTTTGATCGACCCATGCTTTTGGTCTTGCTAGCAACATTACTATTATTTCGCTTATTAGGCGTGGCAATTTTCTTATTGCGATTGCCTGCATAATGTCGAAAACGGTCTAAAATTAAAGAAAAAAATATGGAAATGAAAACAAAAAAAAATCATGGATGGTGTGGTAAAAAAATTATAAAAATAATGCTGTTAAATGAGATAGGGTTAACTTCCTTTTTCCATTCGTATGCAATTTTCTACTCAATTAGGTTAATATCTACAAAATGATAAATGATGAACAGCTGTTGTGGAGGAGTGAAATTAGTTGGAAAATGTTAAAAATTAAATTTAAATGTTAGTGAATGTGCAACTTAAAGTGTGTTAAAAATCAGTTCAAAAATGATAAGTAGTGAAACATTGGAACTCAAAGACGAGGCTTCAAGCAAAATCAATCAATTTGTTTAGAGTCGACCTTGGCTTGGTTTCTGGGGATACCCTGGGAACTCTAATCTAGAATCAAAAAATCTTTGTACAGGAAGTCTTTCAATTTGATCTGTCTGAAGCATAACACCTATTTGAAACTATGAACCAGAGCTCGAAGTCGACTCGATATTTTCATTGATTTTGTTTGTGCGGAGTCAACTCTGACTCGACATGACTTCAAACAAAGTTTCATCGAATTCGAACTCTGCTTTGAATAATATAGAGGTGTCCCAAATATAGGCTGACCATCTGATTCGTTTTTCAGAGGACAGTCTTCTATTTTTGTTCTAATTCATCCAGAAAACAAATTAAATTGGTAGAAATGTAGGATGTCCTCTTTTTTACTTTCAGTTCTCTACCTCTAGAAATACAGACAATGAGTATAAGGCTCCTTTCGCAACACCAGAAAGACAATTCAAAATTTTTGGACACATGACTGTGATCAACTGTTTAAAAGGCTGGAATGGATCCAGATAAATTTTTAGTAGGTCCAGTCCATTTTGATATAGCTACTCAACTTTGAATTCTTGTATTGGTAAAGTGCTTTAGATGTAGCTATACTAGTCTTTTTAATACTGTCAACTAGATCTATCTGTGTATGCTTTATGCTCCTATAAATAAGCTTATCAAGTTTCAGAAAAAAAGCTCACAATATGAAGTATAAAAATCATAAACTCAGTAAAGTTCATCCGAATTCATTAAGATCTTATATTATTTTTCCATTATTCCATATGAGACGACATGAAAAGCTTCATTTCCTGGAACTAGCTTCACATAATAATAATAATAATCGAGAAAAAAGCTCAAACAATAAACAGGAAATTTTCTCCGAACTTTCTCATCTTTTATGACCTCAATCAACTATAGCCTATTGTTGAATTAATATGTGCAGATCTCAGTTGTTTATTTACGTTCCAATTTCGAACATCCTCACGTATTTTCTATCATAAGCTCGTAGATGTACAATAATATTCATATACACACATCATTTTCGTATAAATGGAAAGTTTCATCACGTATTTTGTATAATATTATGTTATATATGTGAATGTGTGTGTGCGTTAAGCACATTTTGCTCAATGTTTATCATGGGATTTTAAAAAATAAGCACAGAAATATCCACAAACAGTCAAACTCAATTTTCTTGTCCTTTTCTACGTTCTAACTCGTTTTAATCACATTTTTATTTTTATATTATTTACCCACCCGAAAATGGAATCAGAAATTTTATCCATTGTTATCCTTAATATAGAAAGCAGACATCAAGAAAGCAACAACATCACTAGAAACTCTCATTTAAACATGAAGACAATTTTTTTTATGTTTCTTTCCACAAGCTTAGCTGTGTCATAGCTACTTTCTCGACACATGTACATGTGTGTATATGAGAGCCCGTGGAACGTGATTTCTTCAAATATTTATGCTACGAGACATCTTTTTCAATGATTTTTGCTACTCTTGTTGATGCTAGCGAAAAAAAATTTTTATTTCATTTCAAACTGACAATGATGTTGTGTTGGTGCCAACTCGCAATAACCAGCGAGAAATTTTATAATATTCATGGTGAAGAGGAAGTTATGCAGGGTTGGAAATTTCGATGGTTTTGTGAAGAATTTGGGTTTTAGTTTAAAGCAGTGATGCCCAACTTATGTGCCGCGGCACACTAGTGTATCTCGAAAAATTCATAAAATTCCACGAACCGTTTGTGATTTTGTTCATGGACTATTACCAGAGTTTGACGTGGTGCAAAAAAGGTTGGACACTACTGGTTTAGAGAATAGGAATTAAAATAATGTGTTTTTGGTTAGAATTGTCTTGGAACATCTAGACGACATTTGAAACATTCATTGTAGGAATAAATACGATTTAATTTCCACTTTCTAGTTCACAATTATAATGTCGTGAGAATTGTGGGAATCATTGTCATATCGACTTGTCTTGGTATAGGACTAGTCCTGGTTTAAACCATACTAGTCCATAGTTTACTAGTTTAATGTTTTCTAGTACCAGTATTTCAAGTTTACTATATACTGATACTAGTAGTTTAGTTTGTACTCGTAAATCTATGCAGAATCAGAAATAAGCATCATCCAAGTACCAATATTGAAATCACTAGTTACCTGTATCCAAATCCAAAACATAATAGAATCTTCTCTGGTTTAAAGTAACTTCAAAAGGTTTCTTTATAATATAAAATTTAATTTTCCTTTGTTTCATCAAAAACTGACATAAACTTTTCTCCTAGCAACTCTGCAACATCCGAAGAAAAAAAGAAGAAGCCAAGCTAAGAAACTTTGACACGTTTCTTCTTTTATTTTATTTTATTTTATAATTTTAAAATTCAATTTCCCTGGTTATTACATTTTTTTTGCAATTTTATTTTTATGAGAGTGAAGAAGTTGCTTTGATAGAAAAAGACGATGGAAAGAAGCATCACACAAGGATGGAAAAAGCAAAACTATTTTTTTTCTTATCAAATTGAAAATATCCTGTTTATAGACACGAACATCAACTTTATCTCTCATGCCGTTCTTTTTGGTTCTATTTCCATGTAATGCTGAGGTTAATTCATTTGAAAGTATTTCCTTTTGAATACCTAATCTCCAATCTCTTTTCATTTTGCTACTAATTTGTTATAGTGGTTGCTGTGGGAAGCAAAAAGCTCACATTGATGCTTCATGTTAGAGGAAATTTGTATGCCTTTATTTATGCTGATTAAGGTTTTACTCCTTAGAAAATGTTTTGAGCTATTTATAGTTTTTCTGGTATTAAAGATTTTTCGTGGTTTGGTAAATGCTTTATGATGTTTATAATGAAGCATATTCGGAAGTAAACAACTTGAGTTTGAATAAGTTTCGATGAAATTTGAGTTAAATTTAAATTAAATCAAAGTAAGCTGAGCGAATTTTTCACGAGAATTGGTGAAATTATTACGAGTGAAATGATTCAATTTGAGATGGTTAAGGAATTAAACTTCAGAATTTTGCTAGGCTAGACCAACTTAGACAACTGGTTCCAATTCATTAAATGTAATTATAGCTATTATTTTTTAAAAACTTTAAGCAATTAATTTTCATCATTTTAATCTGAATTGTGGAGAAGTTTAAGATCCTTAAAGTTCATCCTTGACTTACTGCCTGTTGCTTAAAACCACTTTAAACAAAAGCTTCTTAATAATCATAGGTATGAATTAAATTTATTAAGTAAGATGAGAAATCAAGCCTTGAAAATAATTTTCATAAATAGGATTTCGAGAAATTTGATATCACATAAGTCTGAGATTATGCTTCGATATTTATAGACATAATGTATTATCATAACAATACA